AACAATGAAAGTTTATTCACAATGTTAGTTACTCCAGCTAGAACATTAAATATATTTATATTTTCCTTATAATCAGCTCTTTGAAAAGCGCAGATTTCAGAGCTTGGTTCTTACCTGACAATCTCAGAGATGTGATCTTCTCTATTAAATTTCTCTAGTATCTCAGAGTGGTTGTTCTTTAAAAAATACTCCAAACGCCTCAGCCTCTCCAACTCTGCTTTTTTCTTATTCCTATATCTGCGGTATCTATCAGACATTTCTGCGTACGTTTGGTGATCGGTGATCCACTCACTGTGAGCTCTTAAGCATGTTCGGTTCAGGTTTTAACCGTAGAGGTATCGCTAATCCCCACACAATTAAAACTACGGTAACGGGCAAACGGCCTCTTTAAGACCATGCTTATTCGTAAATATACTCACCCATTTTAAGTGATACAATGTAGCAACAGTTCGGTAGCGCTACCGACTAGACAATGAAACAACAACCACCGGCTAGTGTCGCAATACAGTAGAGTATAGCGCTACCATTCATTTGATGCCGTGTAATGAAGTGGCGCTACCAAGCAGTGTTTCAGTCGTTAATCGAATAACAAATGGAGTAGCGCCACCGACGTGATTATTAGTTTATTTGGCGAAACATAATTTCATTGAGTTCTTTAACTGCTGTGGTCGGTGAAACCAATCAGTATTAATACAGTTATCGTTTTCGCACAAGCATAATTTAACAATCGCTATGGAATGTTTTCATGGTAAACCAGCATCGAGTTCAACAACTGTTCGTGGAACGTTTTGGTTTTGTGGCGAGACGCCGAGTTGCGAGTTCTTTTGCGCTGACGAAGAAAGCTATCTGTTTACAAGAGCGATGGAAGCCTGTCTAAATAGTGGTTCCAATCATCCCATTTGTCCAACACATCAGAGATTCGCCAAGCTACGCGTCGTGAAAGACAAAATGAAAGATAACTACGGAAGACCATTCTTTGTTTGTGCAGATCGTCACAATCCATGCACGTTCTGGCAATGGGGAGATGTCTATCAAATGCCTCGTCCTCGTTGCAAGCATGGAAATGTATGCAATGAGCGCAAAGTTAAGAAGGAGGGACCTAATCAGAGTCGTCTCTTCTACTGCTGCCCCGCCACGGATAGCTGCGGATTCTTCGAGTGGAAGGAGAACGAGTCGTGTGTAACGAAGCATGGCTTCGTCCTGTTCAGCGAACCTCTTCAATATCGCTATAAAAATGAAGAGACTGGAGAAACTTTTACTAGTTCTAAAATTAATGCTAGGGAAGCGTACGAAGAGTTTCTTAAAAAATATGAATAATTGTAATCAAAATGAAATAAATTTGTTTTTATCTTCCCACACAAATGTATTTAGTTTATTCCTGCTTCAGCTTTTGTTGCGCAAAGATGAAACGTTTGTTTGAGATTAATGTTATTTATGACGAATTAAAAAAAGAAATAAAATTCGTGTTGACTGGCAAACTTTGGCGTTTCATATGAATACAATACTCGAGAATCATGAAAGCTTTTTGCGTACATTGCATACTTCGGATTTTGAGAAACTCTACAACGAGACCCTTCACACAAACACTCCTAGCTTTTCCGGGACACCAGGGACTAAAAAAAGTCCCTGAAGGGACACTTTAAATCTTACAGGGACACCAGGGACTAAAAAAGTCCCTGAAGGGACACTTCAAATCTTACAGGGACACCAGGGACTAAAAAAGTCCCTGAAGGGACACTTTTATAAGCGAAGTAGTTCGAGACGTATTCAGTTGGCATCTCGGGAAGAATCCGATCCTAGCTTTTCCGGGACACCAGGGACTAAAAAAGTCCCTGAAGGGACACTTTAAATTTTCCAGGGACACCAGGGACTAAAAAAGTCCCTGAAGGGACACTTTAAATCTTACAGGGACACCAGGGACAAAAAAAGTCCCTGAAGGGACACTTATAAGCGAAGTAGTTTGAGACGTATTCAGTTGGCATCATGCCTCGAGCGCGTAAAGACTGTCCGATTTGTGGTAAGAAAAATTTATTGAAATTATCTAACCAGGTGTTCATAACCTTTCCTCTACGCAAAGGCAGCCTTATCTTATACGTGCAAAAAGCGCACCTTTGGACTTGGATTTAGTTTTAACGGAATTGCATAGAATCATTAGGAGAATGGTATAAATCGTCTGACACGTTGTTACAAGTCTCATTTTCATCATGTACTCCATACAGTTAACACATCCGTTTGGCCTCTTAGTTTCTGGAAGTACCAAGTCGGGAAAAACTACATTTGTGAAAAAACTTTTGAGCTATGTCAACGTCATGATAGATAAACCTCCAGAAAATATTGTGTACTATTACGCTGAGTACCAAGATACGTTTGGAGAAATACAAAATTTAATGCCTAGAATAAAATTCATACAAGGCCTGCCAGATGATATACTAGACAGTATTAATCCTGAAACACGTAATTTATATGTCATTGACGACATGATGGGTGAAAAGGACGGAGTTATCTCAAAATTATTTACGAAAAAATCACATCATGGTAACCTTAGTGTCATATACATTGTACAAAACCTATTTCATCACAGCAAAGATCACCGTACCATATCCTTAAATGCAAGTTATTTGTGTCTAACGAAAAACGTTCGCGACGCAAGTCAAATTATTCATCTAGCTAAACAGTTATATCCTAGTCACACGAAATTTTTCCAACAAGCCTACCAGTTGGCAACGAAACAGCCTTATTCCTATTTGTTTGTGGACCTTACGCCAGCGTGTCCCGACGAAATTCGAGTTAGATCTGGTATCTTTCCAACAGATAAACATTACGTTTACCAACCAAGAGTATAAGTAACTCATGACTTCTGCAAAACAATCATTTGACCATGTCTGCTTGCATGAAAAGGAACTCCGAACTTCTGAAAGTATTAGCCAAGTGTAAACCCGAACTGAGAAAAGCTATTTTAAAAGCAACCGAAGACGATCTACTGGAAGCTATACGACAGTGTCTTTTGAACGTCTGGTTTGATACAATTAAACTGAAACCAAAAACAGCGAAAAAGATTGCACCACACTCCAAACATATAAAGTTTGCAGCTGACAAACGAAATCCAATTGCAAAAAGAAGAGCACGTCTTGTCCAGAAAGGGGAGGGCTTCCTACCGCTTCTACTCACTTCAGTTTTGGGACAATTGGCTAACTTTCTATAAATGGAACACGTCAAAAGATTGGTCCTTGTACCGGAACATATGGCTGAACAACGAAAGAAACCTTTTGTACCACCTTTGACTGCACAAGTAGGTGAAATTGACTCCGAGATGCAAGAGCTACTTCAACGCCAAGACATACCCGTTGATGAGAGGGCGAAATTGTACGACCAGTCCCTACAGCGATACTTAAATTTTTACGACAAACGTATGAGTAAACCTATTAGAGTGACTAACGTCGAACCTTCTGTGACTGAAGATAAAGAAGAAAAAATGCCAGAGATAAAGGATGATGACGAGATTGAATCAGACATACTGGATAGTGTTCCAGCTACAATGAAATCTAGAGCACGTCAGTTGGTGAAGAAACTTAAAGCAAACAAAGATGTCGTTGGATGGAATGAACAAGGTCAAATGATGTTCAAAGGAAGACCAGTACCCGGAACAAATATCGTCGATTTGGTCAACGATTCATTGCGTCAGAGGAAAAACTTTAATCCACAAGGTTGGGAGTTATTTTCGAAGGCGTTGGGCCATTTAAACGTACCCGAAGGCGTTATCAGAAACGAAAATTGCTTAGGACTTGTTCGCGAACGTTTTTCGTTAGACACAAATAACTTGCATTAAGGATATGGTACGGTGATCTTTGCTGTGATGAAATAGGTTTTGCACAATGTATATGACACTAAGGTTACCATGATGTGATTTTTTCGTAAATAATTTTGAAATAACTCCGTCCTTTTCACCCATCATGTCGTCAATAACATATAAATTACGTGTTTCAGGATTAATACTGTCTAGTATATCATCTGGCAGGCCTTGTATGAATTTTATTCTAGGCATTAAATTTTGTATTTCTCCAAACGTATCTTGGTACTCAGCGTAATAGTACACAATATTTTCTGGAGGTTTATCTATCATGACGTTAACATAGCTCAAAAGTTTTTTCACAAATGTAGTTTTTCCCGACTTGGTACTTCCAGAAACTAAGAGGCCAAACGGATGTGTTAACTGTATGGAGTACATGATGACAATGAAGTTTGAAATAATTTGCAAGATGATTTATATCATACTACCAATTAGTTTATACAATTCGGTTAAAATTATTTCCAAGTCCAACGGTGCACTTTTTGCACGTATAAGATAAGGTTGCCTTTGCATAGAGGAAAGTTTATGCACGCCTGCCAAATGGTTAGATAATTTCAATAAATTTTTCTTACCACAAATCGGACAGTCTTTACGCGCTCGAGGCATGACGCCCAACTGAATACGTCTCGAACTACTTCGCTTATAAAAGTGTCCCTTCAGGGACTTTTTTAGTCCCTGGTGTCCCTGTAAGATTTAAAGTGTCCCTTCAGGGACTTTTTTAGTCCCTGGTGTCCCTGGAAGATTAAAAGTGTCCCTTCAGGGACTTTTTTTGTCCCTGGTGTCCCTGGAAGATTAAAAGTGTCCCTTCAGGGACTTTTTTTGTCCCTGGTGTCCCTGGAAGATTAAAAGTGTCCCTTCAGGGACTTTTTTTTGTCCCTGGTGTCCCTGGAAGATTAAAAGTGTCCCTTCAGGGACTTTTTTTGTCCCTGGTGTCCCGGAAAAGCTAGGATCGGGTTCTTCCCGAGATGCCAACTGAATACGTCTCGAACTACTTCGCTTATAAAAGTGTCCCTCCCTGGACGTGTTTTGTCCCTAAAGCTCTGGATGTATGAAGGGCTTTTCAAAGAGAAACATACAACATATTATGAAAACATATATTTACAAGAAACGTATAAACATATAATACATAAAGACAACTATAGAGTATATGCATTTAGAATCCGTATGGAAGTGTTTTGTATTCATCAATAATAACACGTTTGTCATAAACAATACGATAGTCCTTTTTCATGCGTTTGGTTTCTATGTCCTTTGTTTTGGTGTTGCGAGTAATTTTGAATGGGATATCTACGGATACCCGCCCTGCGACATTACATTTTGCATGAAGGTATACCAAAGCACGAATCACCTCAAAGTTAACGTTTTGCCTAGCGGTGCAATTCAACGTGATACCTCGTATCTTTGTTTCAACTTTGTTCGAATTTGTGCGGTAACAGTAATTCTTTGGTCCACCCGAGATAAATGTGGTGATGTAGTCTCCCTTTAACTCATCCGTCAGTTCGCCGAGGTACGGACCTGTAGGGGGCTCTGGATCACCAGGTTTACTAACAAAGATCACCGAATCAGTGTCGTAATACAACGCTCTTTCTTGAAGTTGATCCAGAACATCGTAGAGTTTGAGGCGAGCGTAAGCTGTGGTGAAAGCAGCAATGACCACGTTCGTTTTAGAGTTTGGCGCAGTGAAATTCTCATTGTTTTCATGGTGAATTTCAATCACTTCATCACTCACGAAATTTACGTTGAGAACATTGATTTCATCTGAAGTTAAGTAGTCAAAGTAAACTTGTGGGTCTTTGATCAATTCCACTTTGGTCATATTAGGACGTTGCGCAAATTTGCCTGGAAAAGACATGAAAAGACATGAAAATGCGTCAAAATAAAATAACTTTCATGTTTATAGCTCTACACTTACCCTAAAATGAATTCAACATCAATTTTGACAATGCACGCAGCCCTGGATTATGCTCGATTTTGCCTGGATCCAAACGGATTCCTTCTCGTTCGAAGTACTCCTCGACGTAGCCGAGTTTCTGCTCCTCTGTCCTGCAATTCTTCGGGTAACCACTCGTTTCCTGTTTGATTTTCAGAAACGTATTGATGTAATCTTTAAACAACTCATCAGATTGTTGTGGAAAATGCCACACTTCGTGGACCTTCTGGATTACATAACCTTTCTGCAACGCTTTTTCCAGCTCTACACTGCACCATGTTCCTTGAATGGCTCTTTCGGAGTCGGAATGGGTACATGGGGTTTGGTTACACGTATCAGCACACGATTTACATAAGGGAAACATCAACTTTCCCTGTGTACGATAAGGTAGGACAGGGTGGAAGAGCCCTCGAGGTGGCAAAACCTTACACTTGATCAACCCAAAGTAGTTTGAGATGTCTTCGTCGAAATTTTCTGTGATGATATGAGGGTGGCCGACGACTGTTCGCGTCATCTTATTTGCCCAGGGATATATATAGGCTAGTGAAATCTACATACCTATGACGTCACAATAGAAATGACGTCATAATTAATTATATGATAATGCTGTACCTTACTCTAAGATTGACACTTTACCTTATCTTTTCACCATCTTTGCACTTGTGAAATAATTTTGCAGCGTTGGTTCGACCACCAAAGAAGGCATCGCGAGGTTCCAAAGGATCAACTAGGTCGTAACTGTCAAAGTAATTCCTCATATTTTCGTCGCATTCTAATTCTCGCTTGATGTCACACTCCCACACTTCGACAACTTTGAAGCCCTGATCTCTGAGGTGACACGTCTTCTCCATTGTAGCTTGATGCAGGTCATGCATAGTTTTACCACTAACACTGTTCACCGTATCTCTGGCATAGCATTTCAAGCACCCTGGAAAGATTGAATAAAAAATATTAAACAATAAAATAAAGAAAAAAAAAAATGTTTAAAAACTTACCATGCCAAAAGCAACCATTGATTTCGTAAGCTGTGTTCGTCTCTTCGTGATAACCGTCCAACAAATAATTGCCAACACGTCTCTCACCCGCGTTGCGGGCATGTTGAATGTAAATGTCGTTCTTTTCAGCAGTAAAGGTCAGCCATTTTAGAGCTAGAATTGACTGCTTGTCTTTCGGGCGATAACCGTGAGGAGGGATGATTGCAATGGTGTTCTCTTTCAAAAAATTCTTTCGAAACACCAAATTGCAGGCTGATGCAATGGTAAGACATTTCTCAAACGGGTCGATATCTGTGACATCACGAAACAGTTCGCGAAATTCAAGGCAACAACGACGTAGAATATCAACATCCGAACGACAGTACGTTAGAATCTCTTGTTGGAAATTGAACACATAATCGCTTTCTTTCAAATTGCTGTGCCATTCCAGAAACTTTTCTTTTTCATCAGGACTCATTCCATCAGGATGGTAAAATGGACTTGGTGGAATAGGTCCAACGTAATTCTCACTCTCCTTTTTGTTGAAGAGATGTGGAAAATAACCTTTTGCAAGCTCATTGATACCAAATGTTTTCGGAAAATCAGCAAGTCTCATGGGTATGAAACTCAAAGAGTCGATAAATTTAATCTTGAACATTGGGACACTTAATGTAAGAATTTTGGCACCACGCATGATGATATCGAAAATCACACCGTTCTCGTGTAGAAATTGTTGAATGAAATAACCATCGTAACCTTGAAAATTATGGGCCATCACAATACAGTTTGCATGTTCCTTGGTAAATAACCATTCGCAAAACTCATTTCTTGTTATCCCTTTAAATATGCATTCGTCGCCGCCTCGTTTTGTACTACGCATAAGTTGGGTTCGTGGTTTCCATTTTCTTGTCGACACTCAAAGTCAAAGAATAAAAGTTCATTGTACCCGCTTTGAGGCGAGTTGTCTTCATCGTTTGCCTCTGTATCGAGAAGGCTCCCTGCCTCGTTTATGTCTCTGGTGTTTCTCGCTCTTACGGGTTGCATATAGCATTGATGATTCTCAGTGTGCACATAGGTATCGCACGTAGAGCAACGAGTTTCACCGCAGTGATGCAAATCACGCCTCAGTCTACTCCGTTTCACAACAAGATTGCAATGAAGACATTTGATCAATGAACTACAGATGGATTTTGCATTGCCCAGAGACTTTATGGCGATCGAAACACTCTTTACTTTTAAAAACACGCATGCAACAGGCACAAGGAAACCATGAAACAATTGGACAATTTGAAAAATAGCATAATTTACACGAATCGGGGCAGGAATGATCAGTCATTTTATCGTATCCTTTTTTACAGGTGTGACAATACTTTTTACGAGCAAAAAAGGCCCGCATGCTTGTGATAACGTCGTAATGGTTATCATGCAAAAACAAATATATCCGTTTGTCTTTATCGGGACCTGAATAAATTATGGCGTTTTTATGTTCTTTCGAAACGATATTGAACTGATAATCAGACAAATGGGTTTGAAATTGCTTAACCTCATCTAACCCACATGAACCTATTCGGACCCTAGCTTTTTCATGTAATTCGTACGCCAATTGTGTTTGTAATGAACAGCGATGATCAACTATGTTTTTATAGCGATCATCATTCTCAATTTTCGCGATAGAAACAACTAGTGCTCTTGCTAAACAAATTTCGTCGGCGTTTTGAATACGTACAATTGCCCTCTTCATAGTTAAATGCTTTTCTAAATTGATTTCGCTCCTTTTTGTCCCGGTACCTCCGTTTGGCATTTCAACATGAACTAAATTTACATTAACACTATCATTCAAACGAAAATCACGATTAGATTGAACAACCCGTTCAAATTCGGCTAAAACACGTTCGGTCGTAAGACGAGAAAGAGGCATGAATGGAAGAGAGATAGGAGTCTCGAGCTGAGGCGATTGCAACACAAAACGGACCTGATCGTGCTCTGGAATATCACGAGTTATTGTCCTTAGCAAACTCCCAAATATCTCGTGCAGTTGATTGTGAATTTGATAAAGTTCCAAATTAGCTAACGTGTCCATAAATTGAACAGTGTAATCCACTCCGGTAGTTTTAAACTTTTTAACTTTAACTTGCTTTACATTTCTCATGGTAAAATAATTACTATCGCTAACCTCGTTAGATGTGCTTGCACCCTCGTTCACTTCGTCGACGGATCTTTTCTGTCCATGACCAAGTTGTGACATAAATCCATCATTTTGCCAATCGGTTAAAAAATGTCTTCGTTGCTCAGGCGTCCAAGTATCAGCAAGCCCCGAAGCAAGCTCCCCTTTATCGTTGAATAACTCATCATTTCGCCAGTCCTTCATGAAACTTTGGCGTTGTTCAGGGGTCCAAGAATCTGTCAGGTTCGCAGCAATACCATATCGTTCATTCTCCATTTCCCATCGAAGTAAACGACTCATAATTTCTATCTTCTTCTCAAACAGAAGATCTCTTTCCATATCAGTCAAATTATAGCGACATTCCAAGTCCGTAAGCTCAGCCACAGTTCGGGCTTCCTCAATTTTTTCAATTATATTCATATTAACAAATAACATGTGTCACAGTAGCAAGAGCGAAACCGTGATCTCTCAGGTAATACCGAAAAATTACTCGTGGCTCTGCCTTTTATCGTTACTCTTGCATCATAATACGGTAGTCATGAAAACAAATACTCTGTGTAACGGTAATTATTTCCGTAGCGCACGCGTAATTACGCGTGGGCGTAGCGCTCACAATAACCTTTTGTAAACAAATGTCGTAGCGCTCACTAATTACCTTTTGTAAACATTGTGTTTAATACGAGAAGGATCTCCTCGCAAACCTGAACATTCCCTCCATCAATTTGGAGTGTTTTGGATGCCCGAAGGCGAAAATACTGATAAAAAATCTAGTATGGCTGGAGAGAGACAAATGTAATCACAAACAAAAATAAAAAAACCTGTTCCCTTCAGATTATTTAAGAAATGAACTCTTAAAATGAACGAACAGTCCTAGTAGAATTGACAGTCCTAATGCTATGGAAAGAAACATACTATTAAAATGTTGACATACTAAATGTGTATAACCTGACAAATAAAATATTTTTGTCGCAAATCCTTACTGTGTACTTAATTACGGTTTAATAACGTCGCACTCTCACCCTGCGTGGAGACCACGCATAACTTCGGGAAAATCCGACAGTTTTCGACGGCCCGCGTGGGGGTCACGCGGTGCGTGATTTTTCCGCTATATGGGGGGGGTTACCTACTTATATCAGTGTTTAAGCCAGTAAAATTCTTGTCTTGTTTCACTTTATAAGTTACCACAGTTTCATATTTGTCTGAACTTTTATCAGCTACTTAAGGGGGCTAGATGTGTTTTTTCATAGTTTAATTATTTGTTTTCAAACACAAAACACTAGTTTAAACTAATGAGTAGCCCTAAATAATGTTCCTGTATGCTTAGTTTTATATAGAACTTAATTCAGGATACATTTATATTATTCTACTGGTGTTTCGTGTGATTTGATTAAGGGGTCTGCTTGTTACAGTTGGTTTCACCTGTCACCTTATGAATTTAACTACCAATTACCTGTTTTGATGAGTAAGACATGTTTTTAACTTGTCACTTTAATACCAGTTGACTGAGAATTGTATTGTTTTGAGCAGTTTGTCGTGGGAGAAATTGATGGAGCAGTAAACCAGGAAGAACGATCAATTACTGTTGATGATGGGGCACCTGTAGCAGAGGAGAGAAGTCACGAAAAACCAACCACTTTTGGAACGATTGATAGCAAAAAGGAAGGAAAATGAGGAACAAACATAAATGTCCATTCCCGTCATGTTCTGCTAGTGTCACTCACCTTCCACGCCATACGAGACAAGTCCATAAGTGGGCAAAAGAAGATTCACTTGGCGTTGTTAATGCGTTCTCTTTGCGGAAACCAAAAAAGGGCTCAGAAAATTAAGCGAAAACCGAAGATATGCCCTGTATATGGCTGTGAGTCTGTGATAAAAAAGGCTACACAACCATCTCATAGATTTCCATGGCATGAAAAGAGGTAGCAAAGTATATAAGGAAAGTTTGAAAGTTGCTGTTCCTCATGAAGTTATCGAACTTTCATCAGAGTCAACATGTGAATCATCATCACATGAAGAACAGCAGCATGTTTTTCAGACGAAAAGAATAAAAAACATGGTAAAACCTAAAAAAAAAGGTAAAAAAGTGAAGCATGAGAGTATGTACAAAAAAGTGTACTCTTCAGAAGATGATGATGATGATGATAATAATGACGATGGCTCTAGTTATCCATCCATTTTTAAAAGGCTGCCCAGTGACAAAGTAGGGGAATGTTCTCGTAAGTTGCGTGATAATATGAAGAGAAATTGCCATCGAAGGATGAATTAGTGGAGAATGATGAAATGTCAGATAAAGATAGAATATGCCAGGGAGATGAAATGCACAAGAAAAACGAAGTGTCTCCAGGAGAATTGTCAGGTGGGTGGAATCCTCCATCT